GTCCGTCTTTAAACCAGCAGCTATAAGCTAATTTCTAAGGGCAAAACGAAATTAGCCGCTTGCATTCCGGAAGAAAAACAAACACAAAAGTCTATATTTCCTTACCCCGATGTGCAAATCACACTCAACAATTTGCGCATGTATTTGTCTATGCAAAAATAGAAAAGTGCTTGATAACCAAGGTAACCCTACCTGTACAGATCGAGCAAAGCTCAACGCTTAGAGGTCATTTGATATTATGTAAGTGACTGATCTTGTTCATTTACATCATTTCACACACATGTACAGCTGAACGCTTAGAGGCCATTTAATTTCAAAAACGAAAAACTAGCTAGTCACGCTTCTGTATTACAATCTTTCCAAATACCCATAAATGATATGAATACGGACCTGCCTCGTTTGTATTTGATTCCGAAATTTTACAAGAATGCATAACGTTTTACCGTGGGTTCATCTTGTTGCTCAACTAAGCAGTTATGCAATTGTATCATACCATTCTCGGTAGATGAAATACATGGAGTGTTGATTTTGAAGAATTCAAAAGATCGTTTGATCTATCTTGAACATTCTCTTGTTAAAAATCCTCTATCAAAATTTTGATTTTCCGACCTCCTGAAACTACCATTCCTCAAGCAACACAGATGGAGCACCTTCGTTCTCTTATTATGAGAGCTTTCTTTTCAAAAAGAGTGGCGAACTGCGATATAAATGTATGATTGTAAATTATTTTGGAGGATATTTTGTGAATAACACAACAAAGGCTGAAATAAGTATACAGAGGATGATATTGTGAGAATGATTGTGTTCCTATTTGACAATATATGTGATTAACTCGGTGGCAAAACCTTCCATTAGTGAGCAGACTGTATCTAGGTATTCCTACGGGAAGAAACTGTTCTTCTCCTCTGGCCAACATATTTTGTTTTCATACGGGGCTACATTTATCGTTGTGCGATCAGGACAAAACAACCTCGCCAAGTCCTTCTATTTTACACCAAAAGAAATTGACGATGTGTTGTCTTGTTAAATAACAAGACATTTTGACCACATCGATCTTACATGTATGTATAATCCCAAGCTAGCTTGAAATTAAGGAAACTACAGGGTGTTCAACCTCAGCCGCTTTCCTCGATCTTAACTCATACCATGATAAAAAGTGACCTCGACCTCTTACAAGTACGATGTACGATCAGCAGGACTCAATTGATTTTCCTTTCATGAATTTCCCCTTTCTTGAAGGTAACATCCTTGTTTGCCATGTAACAGTTGATCCGGTAGGTATTCAAGAGTTTGACCCAAATAGCATAACTTCATGACTTCATCATGATATCACAGGTTTCTACTGCTGTCAGACAAACTTACAGCGAAGCGTTTCCGAAAATGCGGGTTAATGAAGTCTCTTCATTAACAAGTGTTATGATCGCCATCATAATTTACATATATTAGGGAAATATGCTATTTCTTTGTGATATGAAGGCCGATGTTTTTGATTATGCTCATTAGAGTGGTTTTGTTGTCACTCTACCCAACTTCTCATGATGAGGACGTCACATAACATGGAGTTGACCTATATTTAAATACCGTATGTAGACGATGACACAGAATATGCTTACCCTTCCTGACCGCCTGGTCTTATACTCCTTGTATTTTGCAAGGGTCTCTGTGCCTTTGTTCATATTCCCCCCTAATTTTATCAATTTTGAGTTCACTCTGTGATTTTGTTGACTCTCCCACCAATAAGCTTAATCCAGTTTTTATACTTTTAGATAACAATTCGTGTTCACATTACTTTTAAATGATTTTATAAGATACTGTGAGTGAGAGCTAGGTGAAAACTCCTGCTAAAATCCTCATACAGTGTATTTACATCATTCCCACTCATTCTTAGACTCGTATTATTTGCATATTTAAATATAAAATGTACCGGTATACTTATTAACTGATTGCATTTAAACTTTAAAACTGTTTTCGTTAAACTAAAAGAACATCAACATATATCAGTCAATAGTTGTTCAAGTGCCTACACAAGATTTATATCCCAGCTACGCCCCTGATTATCAATATGAAATAATTCAGTACTGCTCGAATTCTTGATATTTTGTTATAAAGGGGTTTGATGCATCTCATATGGATTTTCAACTTTTTGGCTCCTAGCATCACTGAAGAGACCTAGTTAGCTTTATGAAATGCCGTATTTATTATCAAATATTACAAGAATTTTATATTAATATGTGTGGTCGAAATCTTAAATATCGTCCTATTACAATCCAAATTGGTACATGTAAGCGCATATCAGGTGTATTATGGCACCGAAAACTCATTGCAAGGTTTCATTTGCGATTTTGGGAGCTGTTTGGGGTACTTATGTGTATAGGTCCCTGTTACTATAAGAATTCTTTTTATAATTCTGTTCATTTGATGTACATGTGTTGTATAACGTCTTCGAAACGGCCAGGATCTATGTAGACACCACCGGAAATATAAGGTAGAAAAACAGGAATATCCCCAGTGTTGAAATGGGGGTAACAGCTTAATTATAGTCTCTTTCAGTTTCTCTTCAAAGAAAGTATGGAAGAGAAATGCCGAATTTATAGGAACTTTTAAATTACACATGCAGTGGAATACAGCAGCTCTATTCCTCATTTCATCTCATGTTCCATTAATACAATATAGAAACCACTCTCGATTCTGCAGGTCCCATCCCTCATTGGTCGCCTCTCATGATAATGCCGTGGGATACAGCAGGTATATCCCATTTCCGAATCTACAGGGATTTGGTTTATATCTAATCTGATAAAACCAGCTACATTGTGATTGCCAATCTTTGTGACTGGCAGTAGCAGCAAGGTCAATCATGGACACAGTGTGACGTCAAGACTTGTTCCGCTGTCCATACTTCCGTTATTTAGAATTCCAAAGATTGCCATTGTTTTTCAATAAGAATAATTAGGAAAATTTCATAGATTTTAGATGTAAATTAATGAATCATTAAGCTAACAGAATATGATACTGCAGGATAACGGTTACCTACAATAGACTGATAGCGTCGGACGTGTTAGAATCAACATACTAATGGGTACTTTCACCGAACATTGTAGTAAGTGGTTTGCACCGTTTAGTTCGCCTTTAGCTTAATTGTTGCGCTTGTTTAAAGGTTCAGATCAAAGGATATGTCATGTGTACATAGTACCCGATAACCTAGTACCGTTACTGTACTATAAACAAACCGTGCTGCCCCCTGGGAAATTAGTTCAAATCCACTTACCACGGCTTTTTGATAACTGTGTTCAATAGTTTGTAATTTTCTATGAAATTCAGTAGTTAGAAAAAAATGTAGCGACATAACTCGTCTACAATTAAAGGAGACCTTAATATGTCGTAAAGCCTTTTCGCAAAACTTTAACAGAGAAGTTTAAGCATAGCTACACGATAACATTGCTTCCTTCGTGATGTTATACGTTCACTAGCCTGGCGATAGGGTAATATGAAGCTTTGTTTACTTGAAATCGTTAAGGTCTCCGAAGTACGACATTTTAGCAGATGTTTTTTCATCTTAGGTAGCAGTCTACAGTAGAGGGTTGTGGCCATGGGTGATATTTGTGTTAAATGGCTAGCCCCTGTATAATGATATGTAAAAAAAAAAAATATATAAAAATAAAACTGTTCTAAAATTGGTATAAGCATGATGAAAGGGCTTTGTGAGCTTCACATTTGTAAAAAAATAAAAAAAAATAGTTTTTGGTTCGAGATCAAAGTTTTGGCCATAATCCGAAAGGGTGCCTGCATGAAAAGCTAGCTTTACAGGAGGTTAAAATTTGACAACAGCACACGACGCAAAATTGCAAAAAATCAAGTTTTACAACTTTACTGGGACACAGATTATTCTGCAACCAAGTAGGTCATCTTTAATTTCAGACAGAACTTAGGAAAAAATTACAAGTTGCGGGGGTCAAATTTTAGGTCAAAAATAGCATTTTTTGGCATTTTTTGGCATTTTTTGGTAATTTTTGATATGGCATACATAGAAAAAGAGGTTTATACACTTCTCAGTACTTTATATTTATTGTAAATGTAATGCAGTTTACACATATATATACATGTATATATGTGTTGTGTAGGGTAAATCCGCTGTTTTTACATTTCCTCGACATGTGCCTTGTTTTTCAGAGTCGGGCCATTTCTACTGTAGACAGCTACCTTAATGGTAATCATTACGGTTTCTAACGGTACTTTTTCACTTGTTTGAGATAATGATTAAAAAAACAAAATAACAGAAACGTTATTCCGACCCCTATATTTTAAAATCAGTTTTGATCAGGTATATACATATATATATATACATTGTTGCGCAAATTTCGCTATTTAATAAGGTAAAGTCTCGTTTGTAAATGTGTTTCAAAATAAAACGATTTAATACTTTCCGTTTCAAAAATTACACATATATTGCATAGCAGAAAAACACGAGACACTAGGAACAATTACCTACTTTATTAGCAGTGGATGGATTCATATACGTTTTAAATTCGTCCCTGATATTTATTGCAGATTGGCAGTTCTGAATTCAAAATCTTAAATCTTTCTTAAATTGTATAAATTAACTTATTTGTTCCTATTACAAAATCTATATTGCTTGTTACGCTAATACATGTTTACAACAAAGTGCGTCATGTGGAGAGTACATGTATAGCAGAGCATCTAAAGAATAGATGCAAAAGAAAACACGTTTCATTAATTTTACCCAAGAATCTCATCAAACAGTTTTACATAGAGTATAAATCTTGATATTAAGGGCCGCAGTGGCCAACTGGTTAAGGCGTTTGACATTCTGCTACCACTAGCCCTCCACCGCTGGGTCGGGGTTCGAGACCTATTTGAGGCAGTCGCCAGGTACTGGCCGTAGGTCGGTGGTTTTTCTCCGGGAAATCTGGCTTTCCTCTACTACCAATAGGACGTAAAACACAAACAAACAAATGAAGTACGATACAAAATAAGCTGTAATATCGACTTCTATTCTGAATTAAGTTTCAAATAGCACAATTTCAAACCATACATCAAAATGAACATTATAGGTAATCCCAAAATACCGAATCAAATAATTAGTATCCGTTATATGCTGCAAGAGCGAAAACATTTTTAATAACCACTAGGAGGAGAAAAAACACAAAGCAGAAAGCATCAAAAAACGACGCGATGTGTTTCCATGTAACGGTATCAGTTCTGATGACGTCATCATGTGCAGCGTCTTTCTGATATCTACTGACCTCGGTTTGATTCGTCATCAAGATGTCCTCTCGTGTTGTACTTCTCGGTGATTTCTGTTTTAAATCGTCAAGTTCTTTATCGTTTCTAGTGTAGTCTTCCTTAACCTTGAAGTTTCCCCTGTGATAAATATCACTTAATCCGCTGGAATTAGTTTGAGAACGATCCAAGTTTGAAATATTTCTTCTAGAAACTTTGCAGGACCAACATATTGCGCATGTGAAATACTGAAGCCACATGGGGACCTTGTTGGCTTCCGGTTTGTGGTGCAGCCGTAACCCGAGTACGGTACATAAAGTAGCCAACGTACTTATGACTAAGTCTCCGGCCAGGAGATAGGAAATCCGTGGAATGTTCGGATCGCTTGTGTTCGGTAAACTTTCCGACACTATAGTGAGAAATACGGTCAAAGCGAGCAACACTGTGATTGAAAATCCGACTCGCTCTCCGGATTCTGCCGGAAGTAGAAACACTAGTGTAATAAGGAGTCCTATAACACTAGCCGGTATAAGGATGTTCACTATGTTAAACAGCGGACGACGTCTAAACTTTATAGTGACTATAAACTCTTGGATACTGACCCCGGTGTTTACTCTAATTCCTGTGTCTATCAGTTCCCATTGTCCGCTTTTGGAATACATATACGTGTCAGGTTTGGCCGTTTTATTGTACAATACCAGCTCTGTTTTGGGTAGGTACATCCATGGAACGAAATATAGCGAGCATGTGTGCTCGTCAAACGGGTAATATGTTATGTCTGCTTTGCACGGTGTCTCGTAAACATTGGCGGGGATCCATGACATCATCCCGTCCGATCTCACACGAATATTTAACCTGTCGAACCCGAGTGGCTGGATACTACTGAAGGCATTACCAAGAAACAGTTCCGGTTTCCACACGTCATTCTGCGGAATAAGAAATGTTTTAATTCCTCCATACTTCCTGTGATCCCACACCATGTTACAATCCCGCCACTCAAACATAAGCATTCCAATTATACCAAGTCTGCTGGGTTTTTCCTCGAATTCCTTGATATGTATCAAGGAGAATCCCATTTCGACAAGAGTTGGTTCTTTAAGGCTTTCCGTGGGTCGAATGTTTTTGTTATAACGACTTGTCAAGTTCTGATGGAGTCTATCCATGTCCGAGTATGTCTGCCCGATGCAACTTCCATAACAACCGACGAGAAAGTACAGCATCATGGCAAATCGACCCATGCTTGTCTACGTGCAGTTAATGCTTACAAGAAGTCTGGAAATCTGGATACAGGGCACTCTCCTAAAGTCTATAACACTATATGTGGTCACTGTATAAACACGATGTCGCGTGCCGCATGATCAATGCTGTCCTGGTGATCAATTTAATTGCACAAGGTGCACATCGTTACGGTTAGTAGTTACAAACAAAGCAGAGAGTATTAATCACGATCAGCACTGGTGCTATGTTTGCATTATGTTCCCAGCGGCCACGGTAATCACGTTTCAGGCCACCGTGGACAAAAACGGGATGGACGTGAGACAACGCGCGGTGATGGAATAGGCCGTAATAAAATAAAGGTCCGTATTGGGACGGGCCGCATGTGTATTCCCCGGTATCTCACGGTCCTTTCATTTTTTTGTTACGTTCTGCCGCGTTTAGTGCGCGTTTAGTCACGGTTCTCACGGCAAGCTAGGGTGTATGGTATCCGTTTCGTCGCGTTCAATCATGGCGGTTTACGGCCCGTCACGCTACGGCGCGTTGCGTTCTACTTTGTTCTGACACGGCGCGCGCGGTCTGGGAAGGAGTATATAAAAGCCAGACCCGGGAGGGGAGCTTCATTCGTGTCTCAGAATACAATGATTGCTATTGCTTATGGCCTTTTTATGTCATGGGCTTAAACGTGCTCCAGAGCTACCCAGTGCCGACATTTTATTCGTAGAAAGCATTGACAGAACGTGAAAAACGTGTCACAGTTTGATCAGAACGTGAGAAACATGAGGGACTCCGTCAGAACGTAACGGGCCGAGAGGGAACGTACTGGCATCCGTGGTAGATCGCGGGCCGAACAGTAGTGCGCCTTGGAGCCTCCGGGACTCCGCAGAAAACTTAGCAAGACATTGAATACAGAGAAAAAAAATGCCAAAACCCCATGGCGTACTGCGTACTTTTCGGGCGAACGGGGCTGCCGGGGCCGCCGGGAACATAATATAAACCTAGCATGAGCTAGCATATGTTCTCTGAGTGCCAATTAACATATTTACCTACAAAAGGCAGGTGTTGTTTTATGAAATAAATGGGAAGTCAATTGCATACTGTTTCATAAAAGCTGGATTTAACCTGTGAATAATTAGAATTTATTGGCATTTACCAAAAAATTCCGTTATCTCAGTACTATTTCCTGCTTTAATAACAAAGTGATTGGACATTCGACATTGAAGTTAGAACTACCGGTAAATAGCACGGGGTTCAGAGCTTTCATTATTGATCTTTGTGTGGATACTGAAGTTCAGAGCTACCGGTAAGTGGCACGGGATTCGGAGCTTTAATTTATTGATCAGTATATGGACATTGAATGGACACTGAAGTTCAGAGCTACCGGTAAATTACTCGGGGTTCAAAGCTTGATCATTTCATCTATTTTCGTGAAATTTAGATTTTGTGATGATTGAATTATTGATTGATATTGATTGATTGGATTACCGATTTATATTGATTGATTGAAATTGATTGAAGTATTGATCTTTGTTGATTTGGACTTGCCATATACCTATGAAAGGGCGGCAGTCCAATTTAAAAAAGGAATCTGTGGCCAAAACATATGCCATCAATACAAATTTAAGGCTTATTTGGTTGTTGTAGTTTTAATTGGTATCTGAGATTACTGACATTTACCTGTGTTTTATACAACACACTTCGCTATATTTGGACCATATAAACTATTAATGGCTTATTTTACCGTTTTCAGTTATAGCATCATGTAAGCACTGAATTAAGTGTTTATGCTTACACTCTTGAAAAAAGTATAAATCTGAAATTAATTGGAATGAAATATTCCAGTATCTGTGCTAATTAATACTAAACTATTCCCTTATTATATGATTTTATATCAAACTAAGCAATAATATACAGTTATAGAATGGGTATGAGGGAAATAGCACATTTGTAGGCCCCTCGAGGTGAAAAACTATTTCCCGAGGCGGCGAAGCCGTCGAGGGGAATAGTTTTTCACCAAGGGTTACCATAAATGTGCTATTTCCCGAATAACCAATTCTATAACTGTTTTATCATAACGAAACAAATTATTAAAGGCAATTTAACAAATGAATTCATTTATTCATTCCTTTTAAAATTTCAAAGCATTTCAAGCATTCAAGAAGTGTTTTTGTAGACTGTATCTCATAGTCACCATTGTTTTCCTACCATATCTAGTCCAATCCACTTTTTTAAGTTCTGCATAAAACTTGCCTGGACACACGTTCATCTCCCGGCAAGGAAAATGACTACTCCCGCATGAATATCTGTAGGCGGAGCTTATAAAATTCCAACCAATGAAAACATTTGATAGGCGGGGCCTTCTCTGTGATGCAGGTGACGTCACAATTCAGAACCAAACGACAGCAGCGAAAATGGCATCGATGAAGGTGGTTTTGGTACATGTAATCTTACTGATCAGGAATTACAGCATATTTTGGACGCTAAAAGTATAGCTTAGATACAAAAGCTGTTGTTAAGTCAGTACTTTAAACTTATTTAACTGAACGGAATGCCGGAGGCGTCGACGATTAGGACAGAGCAAGCACAGAGGAGGTGAACGTGTGTCCATGCAAGTTTTATGCTTAAAAAAAGTGGATGGGACTAAATATGCTAGGAAAACAATGGTGACTATAGGATAAGGTCTATAATGCTAGAAATGAAGACATCATCAACAACGATGCAAATTTTGATTAGTTTTTTCTCTTTGAAATTGTTTAAAAAATGAATTCATCAATTTGTTTCGTTATAATGAAACAGTTATAGAATGGGTAATTCTTGAAATAGCAAATTTGTGGTCACCCTTGGTGAAAAACTATTTCCATCGGCGGCTTTGCCTTCTCTGGAAATGGTTTTTCACCTCGGGGGACATGCATTTGCTATTTCTCTCATACCCATTCTATAACTGTATATAATTCAAAAGGAGGTGTTGCATTGCGGCCCACGACCGATTGAATTTTATTTAGCATGAATCAATTAAATGGCCCCAATTACACATCAAAACAATATTCATTTCTCAAATACAATCAATTTGTGACTGCAGCGCCCCTACATTGATGTCCAGGATGCCCAAGACACCATGTGTCTTTCATGCATAATATTTCGAAATACAAAAAAAAAAACAAATAAAAATCTTCTCCGTTGTTAAATGGCACTCTCAATACCCTGTCTGATGGCATATAGCATTTACCTATGTGTGATGTCGTTTTCTTGCAAATTACATGTTTTCTCATTATTTTTGCATAAAATTTAAACATTTTAATTTTTGCATTTTCGTTTTAGTGACAGAATAAGCATGATACAGGTCGTGTTTCATTAAACTTTTACACCAAAAAAAATATTTTTGGTATGCGTCTTTCTTGCATATAAATCTTGAAAAGATGTTTCACTGGATATGCCCACTTTTTGGAACTTCATTCAACGTACATCTTACCTTTTTACTAAATATCAAAATACTAAAAGTTCGGAGTAACGACTGTCACATGATCATAGAAATAGTATTGTACATTATTTTTCAATAATAATTCGACCAGGGTTTAGTGTGGGGCATAATGGGGAGATGAGAATAAGATTTTGAAAAAATTATGAATCTGACTCAAAAAGAATAAATACAGTCGGACCTTAAAAAGGGCTGCTTCGGTGCTTCGGTCATGAAATATGCACCAATTCGTTTCCGAACCTTTTTTTCCAGGTTGGTTAGTATGGAATTTAGAAGATTCATGTAGCACAATCAGTTAAGTGTTTATGTGTGGAATTTTTTATTACTAGCACGATATGAACGCTATCACCATCATCAGACAAATGACCAGTGAATATGCACGAGTTGACAATTAAAATCGCCGTCCATTAGGCTACGCTATACGTGTGTACACTTGTTGTACAGTTAGATGAATTCAACCGTAAAACTCGAATAGCCTACACTTTGTTAAATGCCTGGTGATAGATGTACGCGAGTCTATTGGCCCCCTCATCCCGATTCAGACCTGATTCCCTGTTACGTATCCAAGGTTTCTTCCTTTCTCCGACACAAGAGCAGATTGTTCTCGCTGTATATTCCAGCCAATAGCTTGAATTTGCGTACGGTATCGCCAGGTCGTAGGTAAAAAATACGTCTATTGGTGTTTCGTGGATTACAACTTGATAGATTGATATTGAATACACCAGGGAAAAGGTGCAATATCATAATCATTTATCAATGGATGTCGATTATGAAGAAGAGGGGCTTGGTAAAATAGCCACATTTTGCGTATTTTACCTAAAATAAGTCTGCTTCTCTACAGTTGTCTGACAACGTTTAACCAAGTTGGATATTAAAATAGCAACAAATGCACTAGATACGGGTGTCTGTCACGCCCATCGATACCGAAAAGGTCATTTACACTGTGAAAATCTCTTTGTCATGGTTTTATATTGGAATGCACAAGTATTTATTTTAACAATAAACGATAGAAATACTAAAAAAGGATGAAAACTCTTTTAAATATCGTTGAATCCCAAAGTGATAGCACTACTTGGTCAAAATAGTAAAGCCTGCATGTTTTCAGGACAGAAATCAGAAATCTCCAGACAATATTTAAAAGCTGGAAAATTCTAAGGCAATAATTCTTGTAAACAATCCTCTAACCTAAATTCTGAAAGCGAAAGCATTACTACACGTCGTGGTAATTTATCAAACCTAGTCATGCTGAATCATGGAGGATGATAATTATCAATATTAATATCGCCCATTTTGTGTTCTTTTATTTTTAATACTTCTTACTTTTCCGTATGTATATTTAATTGGTTTGACCTATATTTTTATGTCACCTATTGTCGATTTAGCAGAAGATGCTTACCTTTTCGGAGAAACTGGCATGCTTCTCGTTGTGCATTTTCGATGGCTTCCACTTCCTGAAGATATCTTGTTTAGTGTACGATTTCCTTGTTCTTACTGGTTTTAAGAATTAACTACAATTTGGTTGGAGTTTTTCTATGGGGGGTAAAGTGC